GGGAAAGCATTTCCTTAAAGATAAAAAGCACACATTTTATCTCATCACTTTGTTCTTTGGACTCGTGATCCTTTCTAACTCTTTCCTTGGTGGTGTGAATCCACAAACAAATCATGATCTAGCATCCTAAAATATGTGACGAGTATGAATCATGTCACTAATAATAAGAGTTACACAAGTAATTGAACCAAATTAAATTCTAATAACATAGAGTGCACCAAAGAGTTTGTAATGCAACAGATGCACCAACTTAAAAGAGAAATGATTGTGGTGATAAGATAAAATTTAGAACATATCCCAAGAGTTAGCACCAAAGATACAAGTGCCCTCTACTCCAAAATCAGCGGTGCAACAGAAGAGAGAACCTGTTGTTGGGGCAAAGAAGAACTTCATCGTCTACTTTGGTAGAAAAAGAAGAAACATGTTACCCTGATAATGCTAATTCAACTCCTGAATATGGGAGAGATAGAAGGCTAGAAGAATCCCAGAAGAGCTGTCAACTAGAGAATGTTTTTTTTCCAAAGATATCGCCAAAGTAGAGGCATAGGAGAGATTCAAAATTCCCTCTCTGAAATCTAAGAAGGGTAGATCTGACCCCACTCAACATATAGCCTCTTTTGAGTCGATGATTTCTCTGCCAAAAAAAATGATGATTTGAAATGCCGCTTATTTTTCACGACCTTTAAAAAGTCGGCGCTCAGATAGTTTAACTTACCATTGAGTAATTACCTCATTCGTCAAAATCAAGTGCATATATGTCATACAATTTGTCAGTGCAGAAAAACTAAAGAAGAGTTCACATGACTAAGTCAAATTTGTCAGGAGCCAAAAGAACCATTGAGAGTCTTTCATTACAAGTTTTCAAAAAGAGATGATAGAAGTTAAAGACCTCAAGCTACAATCACGCATACCACGCACACTTAAAGACAAAGATGATCATTTTATATATGCTCTCGAGTTGCAATAAGAGAGCAAGTTATGAACATGGTGACGGTGTTGAATCATTTTTGGTAAGCCCTGGTCACCGACCAAAGGTTTGTTGAAGGAATCAACATCAAACATCTTGTTCGCTCAGATTCTTGATTAATGGTTAACTAGGTAAGTGAATAGTATGAATCTAGAGAAAAAATAACGTGCAAGTTGCTCCTCAAGGTGAAGATAGATTGGAAAGTTCAAAATTTTTCAGGGTTGAACACATCCCTCGAAAACAAAACCAACTCAATCAATTATCCAAAATGGGTGAACTCCAATGGAAAGCATATGTAGAAGTTAATTCACCCAATAGCTGAATAACCATAAATGATGGAAATTGAATCGCGGCAAGAACCGAGCCGAGTGGAACCCTATGTCGAATACCTGAAGACTAGAGTACCGCCCTTTAGTGTAAAGGATTCCAAAAAGTTGAAGATCAAGTCAGCCCAATGCCTACTGCTCGACAGCGTGTTGTTATGAAGATCTACCACTTCTTATATATACGGTGTGTCAAAGAAAGAGAAGTCACCCACATACTGAACGAAGTGCATTTTGGAGAATGAGGGAGCAATTTTGGAAGAAATTTAGCAAATCGGATTAGGAGGCGGTAAGTCTATTTCGAGCCTACACTCATAAAATATTCATGAATATTTTCCAGAAGATGTGAGCAAAGTCAGAAATGCACCTACATGCAATTAGAACCCTCCCAAAAACTACAGCCAATCATGAGCTCCTGACCATTTGTTGTCCAGTGTATAGATGTCGGTCATTTTTTAACTACAAATAACCAGAGAAAATTCATCCTAATTGTGATTGACTACTTCTCAAAATGGATTGAAATAAAGGCCCTAACTAAAAATCACACCCGAATTAATTCGCAAGTTTATTTGGACAAATTTTTTTGTATTACAGACAACCTATGATAATCGTCACTGACCTCAACATTAAGTTCGTAAATAAGAATGTCAGACTTCTATCAAAACCGGAGAATTTGCTTCCAATTTACTTTGATCCACCATCCAAAGAACATAAAATAGAAGCAACGAGCAAGTTCATTCTCAAGCTACTCTAGAAGAAAGTAAAAGAACCAAAGGAAAATTGGAGCGGAACCGCTCCATCCAACATTCGTGGCAACTCCTTCAATGAGAACTGGACAAACATCTTTCATCCTTTCACAAGGCTTAAAAGCAATATAGGAGTGTAACCCGCATAACCAGAGGTAATAATCACATCCAACTTTGATGAGGCTAAACTCAATAAGCGCCGATGATGAAGGTATACAACCTATGCTTGAGCTACTCGAAGAGTTGCAGATTCAATCGGCCTTAAGCAGGAAAAAAAAATAAGATGAGAGTGATAAAATACAACTTTGATGTGAGAAAAAAAAGCTTTAAATTTGGTGAAATTATGCAAAAGGCAAACCTTAAAGCGCACAAGCAAAACATTGGCAAGCTGGAGCAGACTTGGATGGCACCCAATATCATTCAAGAGTGAGTATGACTAGAAACATACAAAATAAAGACTCATACTGATGGGCAGTTGGGAGAGCGGGAACTGAAAAAAGACAGTTGAAATGTGTCTTTCGAGATGGCTATAGTGAGGAGGAATGTGTGATAATGAAGCGAGAGGGATGTGGATAAGTCAAAGGATAAACAACACCTCAGAAGCGAGATATGGAAGAAGCACCACTCGACCATTAGAGGAGATTCAGGACCTCGGAACGAGATACAGTCAAAACACTACTCACCTTCGAATATAGCCCTAGTAGACAAAACTTGGACGTCGACGGCTGTCTTGACCAAAAACACTAAGAAAAATCTCCTAAAACACTAAAATAATATAAAAGTACTACTATGATAGCTCATGGTGGTGGACCCTCAATTAGGCGGTAGTTCCCAAGCAAGGAAAGGATCGACCGCCCCCCTCCTCCGTTAGGTTGAACTGGTTCATGCTGAACTGAACCGGTCCAAGCAGCCCACAGCTACCGCATCTAGCACGCTGTGCGGCAGATGCCCTTGCATCACCTCCCTTACCAACTCCTACTAAAATCCATACACCTCACTACACTACCTGCACAATTTCCCTTGAACTCACGCACTGCTCTCTCAGGCCCAACCACATTGCATGCCCATCTCACACGACGTCTGCTCCATCTCACCCGTTGCAAACCAATTGCCCATAAGATGCTCTGCATCGCCTCTTCTCATCTCCTAACCACTGACAAAACCACCTCCTGTCAATCATGAAGGACGGAAATTAAGTAGTTAAATTAAGAGTTTTCTATAATTAAGGGCTTCCTTATTTAAATTATTTACAATATCTTTATTCTGATTTATTTCCCTTTTACTTGAATTTTTAGATTAGGAATATATATCATTAAATTATCTAAATAAATTATACATAATATTTCGTACCTAAAATAGATTGTAGGATTATTATTTAATGAAACAAAAGCAAAGGGAAAAGGCATCGAGCCTACACAGAATTCAGTCTATTTTTCTCAAAACTTTGACATGGTATCAGAGCTAAAATTTTGCCCTAACCACCGGTAGTTATTGGAGTACTGTCAAGGCTGCGGGAAGTGAGGAACTATTTCTTTGTCTTGATTCGCCCATCTAAGAATTTTCGTCCATTGTGACTGCTTCGTCCGCCTTCGCTCGCCATCGATTGCTTCGCTTTTGATTGTGTTTGCTTTGTCTTTTGCCTACTTCGACCTTCTTCGACTGCTTCTTCCATCTCCCGTGTTTATTTACACCTGCGATCTGCGATCCTGTCCATTTGTTGTCTCGTCTGCAATCCTGCAATCGATTATCTCGTCTGCAATTAAAGCCTCATACGCAATCTGCGATCCCGTTCGCTTCGTCCGCTTCGGATCTCCTTTGCAAGTCATTGCTGCTTCTGTGGCATCTTCGATTGCTTCTTCTGCTTCGGCTTCATTCGCTTCGATTTTTTTAAAAGTTGTTATGAAACGAATAATTTTTTTAAAAGCTACTATGAATATTATAAAGATTTTCCTTTTTGAAAAGGTCAGAAGGCAATTGTCCTACAGCTACACACTTTAGCAGATATAGCTGTAAAAATCAAATTCATAACACAAACTTTTTGGAAGTGACAAGAAAGCAATAGCTAAATGGGAGCATAACCACAGTTTAAAATGCAAAATTGTAAAAAAGCTGCCACAAACAGACCCTAAATATCATAATCATTGTGATGATGCAATTATCTAGTCAATAAGACCCAAATTACCCTTGCAGTAAAATTTTGAAGCTTCCTTTTGTTACCATTTACTCAATTTTCATTATAAATGTTGTTAAGTTCTCAATTTTAATGGATGGTGGCTTTCCCTTGATTTCATGGAAACAAAAGCGTCAACTTATAAACTTGATTTCAAGATTGCCTAATACATTAAATGTTTTTATGTCAATACATTCAATTATAACACGAAGAAGTTCATGAAGTTCAAGATGAAGTCAACATTCAATGAGCTATTGGAATTCTCACCGTACTACTAAACATAACAAAATGCAATTTGATTGAAACTGCCATGTAAACATGTGAAAATAATCAAGCAACACTACATCACAAACAAAATGTACTTAATGAAAGAGAAAAGAAGGTAGGTAAGATAAGAGATCATAACCATTGCTTGAGCTCCATGAGTTGTAAAGAGGCCATAGCATTGATCCATGTACGGATAATTTGAGCAAGCCTACTCAAACAGTCGCAGAAATCAATCACATGTAAAAGCAATTGTGTGCACTGGATTTTAGTGGTAGTTGTGGTGTACTTTGTACAAAAGATGAGGAAAGCGGGTGAGGTTGGTGATAGTCAATAAAGGACGTGCTTACCACTGATTGACCAAGTCCTAGCTCAAAACGACCGTGAAAGTCAGATGGGGATTGTAGAGAGATGATAGTAGAATGCTGCTGAGTTCTCTGAGGCTTTTCTGAATCCTTGTCTGAACCAAAAACTTGTTAGCATTTGAAAGTTTTTCACAAATAAGAGATTATTGTTAAAAGTGCAAACAACGAAAGCATAACATCCCAATGAAAAAGTTTGACTCGACTTATAGGACAAGAAAATTTAAACAAGATAGGGACATTTATTAATGCCATAATCCCCAATCCTTATGGACTGAACATGATGCTAGAAAGTAATAAATGCATTTTAATTCCAATAAGGATCACGTTTTTTAACGTTTTTTAACATTTTCATTTCCCAAAAAAAAAAAACAGGTAGCAAGAAGGGGAGATTTACATAAGGCAATTTGGTAGGCTATTTTTATTTTTAGGTTAGTTTCATTATGCAATCAAAGCTTAAGAAAGCAGGTTTCAGTCCTGCAGAAGTGTAGCTGGTACACTTGATTTAAAGAAAACCAAGGGACAAAGAAGAATGGAAGAGTATTTGAAAAAAAATTTACTAATAACCATTTATTCGGCTTAGGAGGATGCATGGACAAACGTCAAGGGCTAATTAATCACTTCATTGTTTGACGGATTGACTCCATTAAAACTATTACATACAACATCAACATTTAAAAATACTATCACTTCCACTCATCTCTCGGTCATGTAAAAGTATTCCCTCCCAAATTATAGAAAAGTTAAAATCCAAATTGAAGCACACATGCATAATCCAAAATAAAGGCTTTTGTTTTTCCTTCCTCATTCAAGTTGATATTGTCAACCCTCCTCGCTAGCACTAATAAGAAAAGAAACTCCTTAACCTTAGACACTATCAAGCTTACTAAGGTTTTCTGCAAGTCCGTAACAACTTACAATCAGACACAGCCCCGCAACAAACTTCCACCAGCTCTTACTAATAATCAGCATTAACAATATTTGGATGTTCTAGTGCCTGATCGATCAAACCGACTTGCATTAAATAAAAATATTTGGGCGTGAAGAGAGTAGTTGGCTGTACAGAAAAATAAATAAATACATAAAACAAAAGCAATGTGCTAGACTTGATAATTACCTTGCTTTTGAACTTCTCTAATTAAAAAAACCGACTTTCCATTGGTTCTTTGCAATATTTTAGAAGATGAATGTGTATGACAAGACATTTTACTATCACAAGTCAAGGCATAATTTCAATTGTATAACCCAGCATTTTATATTTTTATATTTTATCAATAACAAATAAGGGCATTTACAGGCATTTACATGTAACAAATAAGGGCATTTACATGCATAGCACACAATTCATATGTATTTACATATCTCACACTTAAACTTGCATATTTACACACACTCAAATTTTCAATATCAGAGAAAAAAATAGCACTATTACCACCTTTTAAAAGTAAAGTCAAACACACATTTTCATGCACAGGTTTAAAGCACCAGTGTTGTATGTACATATGAAAGTTTATGTGTGAAATATATAAATACATAAGAACTGTATGCTACATATATAAATTTCCCTAAAAAATATATGAAAAAATTCAAATATAAGTAAACAATAAATTATAAGTCCTTAATTATATGATTTTTATTAAAACTCTAAAGTACAATTGACATAAATCTGTAAATTTAAATAAAATTAGACTACAAAATAAAGTAAGACAGCTAATCATGCCCTCCTCGTGTAATTATTTTGGAAGCTCCATATCCTCCAAGTTTTCTACATCAACTGAGAAATCAATCAAATGTTGATGCAGGTTGAAGTGTTGCAAAATTAGTTTCAATAACAAGGTTCATACCATTTAAGGCATTATTCTCATCGCTTGCATTTATTTCTGCTTGGTGCACATGTTAAGGACAGTAAAGAAAAAAAAAATTTCTTTATTCTATTTTAAATAAGTTTGAGTTAACACTCGCATAAATAATTTTATCTTTTAAATGTTTTATTTAATGATATCAATGTTATATACAATATACCAATTATTAATTTAATAACTTCAAATTAACTTAAGTTATAACTTACAAACAAGGTACATGCCTCAACAGTTGAGCCAATCAGGTGCACACTATGCACATGGGGCAGCAACTCGGTCTGCAAGGCATATGCCCACAAGCCAAATGCCTCTCGAAACTCCCTTGAGAAAATTTTGTTCAATTCATCCCAATGCACGACCCATGCTGGCTCCCAATATCTTTTACAACATTGATTCTTCCTAGTATATGTGGGACAATCAATTCCACCTCCATTTATTTTCCACGAAGACCAACAATCATCCACCTCTTTCACTTCAAGCCATATCACTGATCCGTGGGTTTATCATTGCCAACTTGTAATTCTGTGGATTATTGTAATTTCTATAATTATTATTTTGCCTATTTATCAATTAATGGACTATTAAAATTATTTTATAATAATTATTTCCTAATTTTGTAAACTATTCTAGGATTATGTTAACTACTGCACAAATATTTGAATGAAATACACAATCACTCCTCCCCAATGTTATCATAGTATTGAAGATTTAAACTACTTCTGTGAAGACCGACTTGGGGACTTGAAATCTCCAAGGCGAGACTAATGGTCCGACGATGACTCATAAATTTCACAATTATAATAATTCTTACTTAATAGTCAAAGAATTTACTAAAACATAGTAAAGTATTTAAAATATCCTAATAGAATAATTATGTTTCTATAGCACAATAACTCAATGAAAAGAAAATAATATACATGCTAGATTTTTCTATCAAGTGATCATATGACAATCTGAATATTTTAATAACATTTACGTCCATAAATGACATATAAAATTTCTTATGATGCATAAGCGTTTGAAATATTAACCCATCCTTTACTTTTCAAAATCTAAAATTTAAATTTACTTAATTTTATATGTTTTAACAAATGCATTTGTTTCACAAGCATCATCCAAACATAACCTAACATACCCATAGCAAAAACGTACCCTGTCGGCATAGTAGGACATAGAACATGTCTACTATTATAAAGACACCTACTCACCATTGATTAATATATCCCCTCTTAGCACAATGGAACAAAATCTTATTTTCACTATTGTCTGAAGTAGTAAGCAAAACATCAATGCATATAGGTACATAAGTGTCTCCAACTAGTACCATAAGAGAATAAACTCCCTGCAACATGCACATGCAAACGTTCATATATAAAATACTTTTTATTTTTCTTTATCATAACATGCTTATCTACTAATTATTATGTCAACATGTTAAAAACATATAAATCATGAGATAATGAAAAGAAAACTATTGTATATGCATTCATAAAGTAATACTGGGATTGTTTTATTGACATAACAATTGCAACAGAGAACCAATCAACATGTCATAAATAGTAAGAACTAGAATGAAAAAAATACAACTTAAATACAAAAGTTTTAAAAGTAGGAAATAGTAATTACCTACCAATTATCTCTTTCATAAACTTGATCATGAAATCTTCAACACCCTAGGCTCCACATTGACATTAGGTGATGCGGGAGATTCTTCCCCCATCATTTTCTCACGGTACTGTAGCTGAAACAGTATCGCGAGAAAACATATAGTGGGAGACGGAAGTCGGGCTGCCGAAACAGTCCAATTTTTTCTTTCTTATTCTTTTTTTTTTCTATTATGCTTCAATCCTTTTTAGTCCTTCCCTCTATATATGTATATATATATATATATATATATATATATATGTATATATAAATGTGTGTGTGTGTGTGTGTTATACAGTTTGGAGTAGCACTAGCACTTTTTGGCATGCTTTGCCGTCAACTTCTCTTCTTCCCTTTGAGAGCAATATCCTAGGGTCCTAGGTGATGCTTCGGTTGTATATCTTGGTTTCCAGGTGGTGATCTATCCTCCCCACATCAAACCCTACCACACCACAACGTCCTTCCTAGCTACAGCCGCCCGCATAAACAATAGCTTTACTGTTTTTCAATACAGTCTTCCCATTCACACCCTTCACGGGCCCTATCCCGCACAGCCGCCCCCAGGAAAATAGCTTTACAACTTTTCAATGCAGTCTTCCCATTCACACACTTCTTGCTCACGACCCCTATCCCGCACAACCGCCCCCTTGCTGCCTTGCAGCCCTCCCCCTCCCCCGCTTTGGCCCTTCACTGTCATCATCCAAAAACAGTAAACCTACTATATTCCTTTTGTCCCTGGCTGTTCCAACCTTTTCCTATCTCGCCTCGCCGCTCTCACCATTTAACCTGCTTCCCTTGCTGTCCCAGCATACCTCTTCGCTACCAAAAAGATTCTCGCCCCTCCTTTGACTGTCCCAACCACCTATAACCACATTTCAATCATATACCTTTGCTCCTCAACGACCTAGCCGACTTCCACCACCCATAAGCCGAGTCTTAGCATGAGTTCATGTCATGTTGTTGTAATTTCCCGTTTTAGTGTGTTGATTGTACCCACCTATTTGTTTTCGGTAATAGTATATGTTTTTCCTACCGTGGTTTGAGTTAACTCCGGCATCATTACCTCAACTTATAATCAATGACATCCAACTTTTAATATTTTGCATGAAATCAAGTACTCATATATATTAAATCCTGAACAAGTTGATCACCATCCAATACTAAAAAGTTCTATAATTAAATTGGGTGAAATCCTTTAATTAGATTTACTAAGAGTCCTCCCACAATAGAAGTATTTATTTCATTAAAATAAATTCTAAACCAAAATCGATCTCAGCTATGATGCTACTAGTTATTTTACATTTCAATTCATACGACGGCTATAATATCACTAAAATTTCTTTTTTAAAAAAATTAAAATTTATGCTAATATTTTCCTTTATTTATTTAATAATTTATTTTAATTCCTATAAAAATAGTATAATTGATTTAAAAATGAATTTACAACTTGCAAATTTCATGCATAAAAATCATAAGATATCTTTAAAATAAATAAATTGATTTTCTTAAATTAACTTTTAAGTTTTCAAAAACATGAATAAATTGATATCTCAATTGAAGTGTGGAAATATTTAGACGATTTGGGAATTTCTTGG